TCAAGTCTATCCATACTGACCAAACAGAAAGAAAAGTCAAAGTCTACTTCTTAGATGGAGACTCAAATTTGAGATGCATTACTAGAGGCAAACGAAGAATACTGAAAAGCGTTTGAAGTCCACTATTCACAATAAGAAAAATCAAATATCGTCTACACTCATAGAAGAACACACGAAGTCATCAAATTTGTGAGAAGAAAGAAGAAAGATAGACAAACACATATCCACAAGTCAAAGCAAGCGTGTGTTAGAGAAAGTAGACCTACTTTTCAAAAAAAGACAACGCCTCTACAATTACACTGATGGAGAGAGAACAGAAATACCTAGGTCATGATTGAAGTTAGAAATAGAAGTAAGGAAACTACACAAAAAGACCTCTGTAACACAGATTCAGTAAGCAAACATTTAATGCAAGATCAAATGCATTAAATGAAATATCTACATGGCCATGAACGAACTACTATCTGCACCAATAGGAACCTCCGCTCCAACGGACACGTTCAAATTTAAACAACGGGCAGATTTATCACGAGGCTATAAATATCAAGACCTAACAAGAGAAGGCAAAGAAAAGAGAAGCAACGAGCAATAAGCAAAAGCAAACATAAAAGCAAACTTACATCTCTTCCTGTACAGTCTTGTATATTTGTGTAAATCTAAGATAGCTTATCTTAGTAAGTGTTAAGACTATCCTATCCTCTCCGTGAGAGTAATACACACACTCAAAACACATATCTCTATAAAACTAAGGTTGCATACCTTAGCGAGTGTAGAAACCATCCTATCATCTTTGTGAGAGTTATACACACACTCAAAACATCTATCTACTGTAAAGCCTGAAGATGCTAGTTGAAAGAATACTTGGGGAACCAGAAGTGGTTTAAGAATACTAGCACTGACGAGTGAAGTTGGTAAACCAGGAGTGGTTGATAATACTTGGGGAACCAGAAGTGGTTTAAGAATACTAGCGCTGACGAGTGAAGTTGGCGAACCAGGAGTGGTTGATAATACTTGGGGAACCAGAAGTGGTTTAAGAATACTAGCACTGACGAGTGAAGTTGGCGAACCAGAAGTGATTGATAATACTTGTAATCTGTTGAGATTAGTGGAACCCTTCGGTTGAAGGAGACTGGACGTAGCTCAGGTCGAGCGAACTAGTATAAAACTCTTTGCACTTTTTATCTATTTCTCATACGCAATTTTGCTTAGTTGATATATCATATTGAAAATTTTGTCCACTGCTTATTTCTCACTGCAACTATCTTCAGATGGAAAATACACTTGCCTAACTTATTTTAGGAAAAAATTTCCTTGTGCAGACGATAAACTCTCAAACGCAAAATATTTTGTTGAGCCAACCTTGCACAGTTTTTAAGTGTTCAAAATAATATTTTCATTAGACGAAAAATAGTCTCTTTGCGAAATCGGTTTTAAAATTCCTTCGTTCATACACACATTCAACCCCCCTTCTGTGTGTTTTTCTGTTAACATCACAATGCTCCACTTAGCCCAAAAGAACCCATATTGTCACAAGCAAAAACTATACCACTAGGAGAGTAAAGCCCTAAATTCTAAGTACCCCAAAATACAAGGGTAAAATAGGAAAATACAAAGAAAAATAAATTATAAGTCCAAAGTACCCCAAAATACAAGGGTAAAATGGAAATAAAGTTTAAGGAAAATAATCCCTACACTAATGAGGCTTAGGAGAATACTTAATACTCTATGATCATGAGAAGAGTATCTCTTGGTGTATGAGCTCCCCCCTCTTCTTTTATCCTCCTAGTCATGGACCTTGTGATGGGCCCCACATGTGTCTTCAAAGATGGTCCTCCATCAGGTGGACTACAAAGAATCTCTTAAAAATCAAGCCTTTTCTAGTAAAAATCATTAAGCCCCCTTACACCTTTCTCACAAAATCAATTTTGGCACAAAAGTGTGAGTGTGTGCACGAACCCTTAGTAGGCAAATTTAGAGCCTTCTAAATGCACAAGAGAAACTAAAGCATTCATACTAACAACAAGAAGGAGTAAAGGAAAGCAATAAAAACATATACTAGTCGAAGGCCCTAGGGTGGAAGCTTGAAGTGACCTTGGTGGTATTCAAGACACTTCCACAAGTACTAAACGAAATTATTACAAAAGTTAATTAGTTAAGAGGCCAATTACAACCTAAATGAATGAATAAGGACCAAGACACAAGTGGACTAACAAAAAACAACAAGAAAGGGAATGAAAATGGCACAAAAGAAAAGACAAGGAAATTAAAGTCTTCAAGCCTCCAATGGTGGTTCTTTCACAATGAGCAAACTTGGTTAGTTCTTTCCCAAGGTCTCTACACTCTAAGACTTTTAGTAATCCCTCCAAAGCAATTTGGGCTACACAGACAACTCCTCCCACTCAAATCTCCCCAAAGTTGCAAGGTAATATTGAAATATACTTCATCTACACCAAGTAAACCAACCAAGAGCAAGAAAGGAGGCCAAAGAAATAAAAACTAAAAAGGATAAATTAGAAAGGCTAAACTCAAGGGGAATATTGATGAGACAAAACACAAAGAGTTCCAAGAAAGACAAGCAAAAAATTAAGGCACATCTAAAAAAGCAAGCACTCAAAGGAAATCCTAGAATGGCTCTAGAGTATAATTAAGTGTTTAATGTTTCTTGTCTTTGTAATTTCATGTCCATCCTCCTAAGTCCAACCAAGGTATTCATCCAAGTCCACCCAAGATTTTGGTCTCAAATAGGTCCAAAAATAGTCCAAGTCCAAATGTGCAAGGGTAAAATGGTAAAGTGTCCACAAGTTTAGCAACAATTCCTTTTGTTTTTTTTTTTATTTTGTTTTTCACGCCCACATGACCAGGTTTTAGGGTCAATTTTTTTTGAATTTGACTTGTTGTGTTGCTTGGTTTTTACACTTGTGGTGGTTTACAAGGTTGCACAAAAAAGAAAAGAGGACAAAAAAGGCCTAGTATCATGTAAATGGTATGTTTTTGGGTGAAGTGTATTTGGTACTTTGTCCTCTTGTTAGGTTCAGATTTTTTTCAGGTTGTTCAGCAAATTTTCAGAATACAACTCACTTGGTTGACTCACAAAATGTACAACTAGACAAGGGATGATGGTAGCATCCAAGAGTGGCTAACCATAAGTGTCCAAGAAACAATTTACACATGGAATGTCAACAAAACCTTGGAGCATGCTAAGGACTAATTACCATGCAAGATTAACCTCTAAATGGAGCATACAATTTTCGGCCAGCCACAAGGAAAAAGCATCATGCATCATTTTTTCATGTTTCATGCAAAGAAAGGTGTGTCATGCATAGATTTTGAATTTTAAGGAGAAAGAAAAGAGAGGGAAAATACAAACTTTGAAAAAACTTGGACAAGGAAAGATCAAAATAGAGTTCATGAAGTGTTCAACATGTTCATCATGTTCTTGAAACAAAAATTTCTAGCTAAGATAAAATAGAGAAAAAGCACAAAAGAACCAATTTTAAGATAAACCTAAAGGAGAACAAGGAGGCTCATGAACAAGTACTGAACCACTCAACAAGAAGACAACATTTCAAACAAGATTTGAGAAGATAATATCAAGACATGTAAGAAGACATAGACATGACAAGGAAAAAATTTAAAAAACACAAGAGAAGAGACAAGTCACCCTTGAAGACAACCATAGCTCTGATACCACATGATGGACTACTCCTTCCTTCCATGGTGTGATCTTTGACTTCCAAGGAGGAGCTCCCTCTTTCTCCATGGGTTAGGATGAAGAATGATGGCTAGATGTTTCCTCAAGGGTGATGAGAAATAACTTTGGGTGGTCCAAATGCACCCAAAGGATAGGTGGAAGGTATTTTTGGTGCTCTTGGATAGCTCTCTCCACCAAGGGATGGTGGAGGCTACTCAAGGGAACCCAAGCTCACTCTAGGGTAGAGAGGAGAGGATATGATCGTGAGATCCTAGGAGACTAAGGAAGGCTTCTTGAGGCAAAAATGCTCACTCAAAATGCATATATTCCAAAGTGGCTACAAGGGGGATGGCCTAGAATACTTATAGAGAGAGGAGAGCATCTAGGGTTTCTTGGGAGCATTTAGCCAAAATTTTCATGCCCAAATGCACCCTAAATGAGCCCTAGATGCAGCCCAATGAAATGGCTTTCATCTCTCTAAAAGGACTAAAGTGCCCTTAGGCCTAGAAAAGGAAAGAAATGGACTTTGACGTCATAAGTCAAGGTTTAAGTCCCAAAATAAATCCTAAGACTAATTTGCCCCATAATAAAAAGGCTAAATAAAAATACAAAATAAAGTCATAATATTTAATGTACCCCGAAATACAAGGGCAAAATAGAAAAAGCAAGCAACAAACTAAGGAGATGGCTCAAAATCCACACACATGATGATCATGGCTTTTGGTGTGGTGTGTTCTTCATCTTTGGCCACTCTCCTAGTTATAGACCTTGTGATAGGCCCTATATGATGCCTCAAGGATGGCCCTCCATCATTTTCTTTTCAGTAAAGTTTAATTTGAACTTCTTTTTTATTTATTTTATTTGATATGATTTTATTAGCATGTAGGGCAAAGGGTATTACAACTAGTGTTGTTCATGCTCTTAAGTAAATAAGTTTTTTATTAGAAGGAAAAATTACAACAATGTCAATGAGAATGGAATCTAAGTCCTGATGCACCTATCCCACCCACACCAATTAGTATTTAATTAATATTTGTCTCTTTAGTTAGGATTTATTGTTATATTGATTCATATCAATTAATTAATTTCATTTTAAGAGGTTAAATTATTATATTAATCTCTTTAGTTGGTATTTCTTATTATTGATTCATGTCAACCAAGTAATTTCTGTGTAAGAGGTTATATTATTATATATACGATTGACAGTACATTTTAAAGTCAATTAATTTCAAACATTTCTATAAAATAAAATTTTATATAAAATACAATACAAATACAAAGTATATAAATATACAGATACATAGGACAAATAAAATTGATCCTTAGAAACTTTTCATCAACACATAATGCTGCTGAATAAACTTCAACTAGACTCTAATTCTTTGTCATTCATCCTTGATTTCCGTTTTTCCACGCATTAAAAAGGCTGGCTCTTGAGGTAAAGGCAGATCAACTGAATTACAGTTAAAATACAAAGCAATTGTTGCCATGATAGGCCTCTGATCTGGGTGTCCTTGCACACATAGTAGTCCAATCTGTATGCACCTAGTGATTTCTGTTTCAGAAAACGAGTCTTCTAATGTGGGATCCAACAATTCAATGTGTTTACTTTCCTTCCACTTCTTCCAAGCCTGCAATCAAATTGCGAAATAAGATGTTCATTTTTCATTTTTCCTTTATGTGGACATTGTTAATTATTACAAGCACCCAACTTGGATAGTATATGATACTCACATAGCTCAAGAGGTCATCAGAATCTTTCCCAGTACAATCAACATTCCTTTTTCCACTAATGATCTCAAGAATTATGACTCCAAAGCTGAATACATCAGACTTCACAGAAAATTGACCAAGCATTGCATATTCCGGAGACATATAACCACTATAAAACAGTAATAAATGCAAAAGCTCATCATATACTGTATGTGTCATAATTTTCCAAAACCAAAAGTTTCTTTGTATTTGAGAAAGAAGCTCTTAAACATCAAAACTTACTATGTCCCAGAAATTATACTAGTATTCCCCTGCATTTGATCAACGGACATAATCCTTGCCAACCCGAAGTCAGATATCTTTGCATTCATTTTTCTGTCTAATAAAATGTTGTTGGGTTTAAGATCGCAGTGTATAATGTTGAGATGAGAATCCTCGTGGAGATAAAGAATTCCTCGTGCGATTCCTCTTATAATATTGTATCGTTCAGTCCAACTTAATTTTCTCTGACTTTTAGAGCCTGTAATATTTATTTTGTCACAAATTAGTTAAACTGTAAAAAAAATAAAAAATAAAATAAACATAAGAGACAAGAATGCTTTATTTCAATAATTTGCCATATGTTTAAAAAATTACATGGAGAAAACACATTCAAGGTACAAACACATCAAATAGGCAAGTGAATAAAAGATGAGATATGGTCCAAAGTACCATACAGAATAAGTAATAATCTAGGCTCTTGTTGTGCACAAATTCATAAATGAGTATCTTCTCATTCCTTTCAATGCAAAATCCTATTAGTCTCACAAGATTTCTGTGTTGAAGTTTGGAAATCAACAAAACCTCTTTCTTGAATTCTATAGCCCCTTGACTGGAATTTCTTTTGAGCCTCTTTACGGCTATTTCAAGTCCATTACGAAACATACCCTACAATAGAAATGGCATAATTAAGATTACATATTGAACATTTTAACGAAAGTTCTTCTTTACTGTTTAACACTAGACATCATCAATTTGTTAACCTTGTAAACTGCTCCAAAACCACCTTCCCCTATCATGTTATCATCAGAAAACTTGTTTGTTGCTTCTTGAATAGTATTCAAATCAAATTGCAAAGAGTTCATTTCTGTAGTAATCTCTTCCCCACCTAGACCCAAAAGGTTGAAAATTAGTAAATCATTTCGGCAAAGATAAACTTCTAAGCAAGTAAACTTGAAAACAGTCAAATTAAGATCGTAGTTCCACATTACAATTTCCCTTTTGATGCTTGAGATTCTTCCTTGACTCCCTATGTAGCAGATAGCAACCAAAAACTAAAATCACAACTGGAAGAATTCCATGAAAACATATGATTGATGCAAGTGCTCCAGGATTCTTTCTTTTTCCTGTAATAGAGATTAGTATCAATTCAATATTAATTTACCACAAAAAAAAATGCATCTTTTGGAAAATAGTTGCGTTTTTTGTCTTCTTTCAAAATCCCTTTAAAAGAAGGATAAAAGCAAGTAATTATATCTCCAAAAACAAGTCAAACAAAACATATAAACACATAATTTAAAAATATGTTCAAACCTGTAGGAAGAGGAAAAAATAGATTAGGATCATATCTAAGAATACAACTAGGATATAGAACTCTTCCTCCAATCTTGCCTCTAGCACATGTTTGAAGAAAATCCATGGCTTGCCTGAGGCACTTCTTGCAATTGTCCATGGAGAGGTTCGGGATGCACTGAGCAAATCCAAACAGGTGTTTGTCCTCAGATATAGTTACTTTGTTTACAGAAAATTTATTAGAACCATTTGGAGCTTTACTTATTTTAGTTAGAAGATCCTCCGTCAAGGAACTCAGGACCTTGTTGAAACCATCCAATTGGCCTTCATAATCTTCACTTTTCTTCTCACAAAACGATGGCCGTTCCTCCTTAGTGTTGAAGAAAAACCGGTTTGAGTAACGAACCATGCATTCATGAGTCCAAATTACGCCCTTTTTTTCATTTCTGTTGACACACTTTGATTTAAGTGTCTCGATGGATTCCTTCACACATTTCCCACATTTTAATTTCTCTATGTATCCATTGCACATGAAGAGGCCATAGATTATGTCACGTTTGTTTGTTCCACTAACTTTGGCGTGGTAGAAGCTGTGATAGGTGGTGTTGTCACAAGCTTTGGATGCAAGTGTAGACAAGAGTTTCTTTAAGTTGGATTTGTAAGTGCTTTTGAGACCCGAAATAGCCTTGTTTGTGCAGTTGTAATGCTTGAAAATTGAGTCTGTGTCAGTAGGTGAAACGCTAAGGGAGCCAATTACGTTGTAGAACAGAAGAATTGAGAACAATTGCAGACGGATCAAAGAAGCCATGCTAGCATGGGAGATTCTTTGTGCTTAATGTTTTACAATACTCTCGTAAGTATTATCATTATTATGCAACAGTAGGAATGTATCTTGAATTGAAGTAGTTGGATTTATGCTCTTAATTATTTTATTATCAGGAAGCTATATTTAAAGTTAATTATTAAGTAATTGAAAAGTTGAATATTTGGAATCTACTAATCATTGCCTTTATATCCTTTCTAATGTCTTAGTGAACTACTTATATCTTTTTAGTTTTGCGGTTTGATAGGAAATTGTTTTGGGGACTTTTCTAGTTTTTAGTTTTGTCTTGGCCTTTCTTTTTTATTTTAAAAAAAGAATTATAAGTGAGTTGGATCTCGAAGATTTACAAAGATCAAAGTAGACTTTAGACCTTAAAGTTTTATAAGAACTTATAAAAATACTTAAACCGATGAAATAGTTTCTTTGTGAGTCTATGGCCAATCAGAATTATTTTTTTAATTTGTGTCATTTGTCCCACATGGATGTTAATCTTGAAATTTGAGGTTACACTTGTGCCAATGACGTTTGAATCATGTGTTGAGTTATTACGCACGAATTTTCTTCTTTGAGACATTTGAGACGCCGCACTAAACGCAAGTGGGTAATTAATTTAGTCTCAATAAAAATAAGATTAGAATTACTATACATATAATTGTATATAAGGGGAGGGTTCAAACGACACCGATGTAACTTTTATTAAGTGTTATACTGCTCAATAATTTTATATTAAATGTGAATTTTCCAACCGTAAGATTGAAAGTTCATATCTCTTAGATCATATATATCAAATTTTATATTAATCTAAGATGATTTGATACTTCATTCTCATAAAACAAAATTGACGTAATATATATTTCAAAATATACTAAAATATGAACACTTTGATTACCTTCAAGTTGTTGTTCAATTTTAACAAAATTTGATATATATGATCTAAGAGATATGAACTTTCAATCTAACGGTTGGATTTTGAAAATTCACATTTAATATAAAGTTATTGTGCGGTGTAACACTTAGTAAAAGTTACACCGGTATCGTTTGACCCCTCCTCTTATATATAGTTTGAAGTTTCTAGGGTTGTTTTTTTTTTTTCAATCTAGACAAAAGATTCTAAGGATGTTACGAGGATCAAATAACCTAGGTTCTCTCTTGCTTTTATCCAACTTCTACCCTCTAACCACTAAATTAACCCTATCGATCTTTTTGGGTAGGTGTTTATGCATCTAGATAATACAGTGTTAATTAATTTAATGCCTATATGTCACTATCGTCAAAGAAATCACCTTGTAAAACAGTTAAGAAAAATAGTTAAATAAGAAAACTAAGTAGCTCCTCACGGTAACAAAATTACAAAAATTTTGATTAGACCTCAAAGTGAATGACCATCGAAATAAGTATTGGCGGAAAAGGTTTTCGAGAATAAATCAACTAACCATTCATGAGACCAAATGATGGTAGACTTACACTGATGCATATATCTCTTGGCTTCGGGCGTATGCTTAGAAATGAGTAAGTAATGACTAGCTCCCAAAAGAACAAAATTTATTATATTTTGGGTATGTTCATTTATGTTTGGTTAAAATATTTTCTTAATTTTTATAGTTTTATTTATTTTGTCTTTTAAATTCTATTATTTAAAATAGACAATTTTAGTTTTAATATTTATCTTTTTTTAATCATTTTTTTGTTTTTGCAGTTTTAGATAAATATTTTTAATTCATATACTTTCAGCTTTTTAATCTTTTAGTTAATTGTTGATCGAGGCCGCACTGGGTCAAATAAAAACAAGTAAATGTAGTGCTAGGAAGTTTTCCTAGATCGTCTCCCAAGGACCAATCTTTTCTATCAAAGGTTCAAACACAAACACGTAATGGGGGGGTTTGGTTCAGATTTATCAAACTTCAAAATGCAATAAAACGCAAAGTAGAACAGTAAGAAAAGAAGATTGACTCCTTGTTAAGATTGCAACTCTCTCTTATCCCTAGTTCTCAAAAGAGTTCTCTGTCAACAAGATCCATGTTCCATCCGAGTTAACCAACTAAGCAAAGATTAACTTAAGACTTCCCTGCACGAATTAAGCAAACATATACAACATTAAACCTCTCCACGGGATTAAGCAAACTGTGGCATTAAATGTAGCCAACCCAGATTCATTAAGCATAAACGGATGTTGACAACATTAATACAAAAATTTAATGAAGAAGAATCAAGTGGAAGAGAGGTGAAAAATATGAACAAAACCTCAAATAGAGATTGCAATCTACTCAAGGAGCCAACCCCAAGGTTTAGCCTTCCATTAAAACGAAAATGTAGTAGATAAAATGAAGAACAACAGGAACACAGACAGCCAGCGGGAAGAAAAGGAAACTAACAATATGTATTCATTCAAATGTCAAAACGTAATCTCTAGACAAGTAGAGAAGCCAAAAAACGTAAAAGGAAGAAGATCCAGAAAATTAAATGTGGTCACATCAATCTTAATGTTGGTGGCTGCATGGTCAGCCCTAACTTAGGTCCTCAAACGCTAGAAACGTAAATGGACCCCCTTCCCTGTCTGGCCCGAAATTACAAAATGAGGTTGACAAAAATGTAAATATGTTGCTAATGTGGTGATGTGGTGATGTGGTGCTGACGTGGCGCTTTATCTCTTGAAGTCCAAAAATAATATCCAAGCCCAAAAATGCTTCACAATTAACCTGAAAATAATTAATAGACAAAAATTAGACCAAGTAAACTAGAATTAATTAAAATTTGAATTACTGACCCAACAAAGCCCAATCAATAAAACTATGTAATTAATAAGCGATTAAGCCATCAACAATTAAAATAAGTACAAAAATATAAATAAATAAGGGAAAATAATGCCTCATCAATTGCTTATAATGTTGTCTTTTTGATGTTAATATGGTAGAGATATTTAAATTTATGTTTCTAATATCGAATTTATTTTGTAGGAATTACCCTCAATTAGATTCTTTAACATTTCGTGCCTCTTTTTTATCTTCACTTATGACATTTATTGCTGAGACACTTTTTTTACCACCACATAATTGAAGACTTTTACCATATCAACACAAAAGATATGACTTTACAAAAAAAAAAAAAAGTTAACAACAAGGATTAAAAAGGTAACTATGGAGACTAAAAATGTATCTTAAACTGTGGGAACTAAAAAAGATTAGTAAAGAAAAATATAAGGAGTAAAAACATCTATTTTAAATTATAAGGCTTAAAAGGTAAAGTAAGTAAAATTATAGGGACTAAAAAGTATTTTAACCTTTATTTTTTATTTGTAAGAAAGTTACAACAAACATGACAATGAAGATCGAATCTTGGTTCTCATGCATCTACCATAATCCCTTTGCCCAAATCATTAGGCTAATCTTAATGGTCTATTGTGGGTATGTTTGAAATAATAGTTTATAAAGTAGTTGGAAAATTTAAAAGCTAGAAGTCTAGAATTCAAACACCAATGCATAAAGAGCTTTTTACAAAGAGATTTTATGTCGAATTTAACCCATCTGACATAGAAAGTGATGCAATGACAAACTCGTAAATATGGTCACACTTCCTATATATATTACGTATTGATTCACTCATCATAGAAAGCTCGTTTATATTGGGTGACACAACACCAGACATTAAATGTGTTGGGAGAGATAACTTTTAAGTTAGCTCCAATCTTTTTATGAAAAATGTAACAACACTCGACAAAGAAGGATTTTTCTATGACAAGTGAAATAACACTTGACGCCAATAGTGTTTGGAAACACCTCCAAGAATCTAACATGGCGAGAGATTGTTAGGCGAAGGCTGCTCAAGCCAGAGGTGCTCCAAGGATAAAGCAACCTACTATTGTAGGTTAGGTGTTTGCTATGATGGGATCTAAGGCTACCACATCTTATTACTTGTTGTTAAGTCAGACGAAAAAATTCCCAACAAGGTTTTGAACATGACAAATATAATACATATTGTTATTTCTAACATGTGTGTTAGTGTTTTAGATAAATATAGGAATAGGACTGAAAAACGAAGTATATGTCATTACATATACTATGGTCAAAACAAACGAAGCCTGGACAAGACAAGGCATACCATCAGTCAAAGTCTTGAGGTGTTAGACAAAAGGTCAAAACAAGCATCAAATAAGGCTAAGTCAAGAACAAGACAAAGCTAGAGCTTAATGGTCAACTAATAGAAGGTCAAAAGTATCAGACGATGGACAATCTAAGACAAAGAAACATCTCAGACAGAATTAAAAGTCTTCCATTTACACAGCTGACCATATGAAAGGAGAAGTCAAGTTAGACGAAAAAAAAGTCAAACTAGATGAAAGGAAAAGTCAAAATCTATCTTTTAGACGGAGACTCAAATTAATTCTAGACGCAGACGAAGAATATTGAAAAGCGTTTGAAGTTACTATTCACAACGAGGAATATCATATATCGTCTACAATCATAAGAAGAGCAAACGAAGTCATAAAAAATGTGAAAAGAAAGAAGAAAAATAGAAGCGCGAATTTACAAGTCAAAGTTGCATGTGTCAGAGCAAGTACACCTACTTTTCAGAAAAAGACAACGCCTCTGCAGCTACAATGACGGAAAGAAAACAAGATATACCTAGGTTATGATTGAAGTCAGACATAAAAGTAAAAAAACTACGCACAAGACTTCACGTAACACAGATTTAGTAAGCAAACATTTAATGCAAGATCATATGCATTAAATGAAAGATCCACATAGCCATGAACGAACTGGTATATGCACCAACGAGAAGCTCCGCTTCAACGGACACATTCAAATTCAAACAAAGGGCCGATTTATCACAAGGCTATAAATATCAAGACCTGAGAAGAAAAGAGGAGAGAAGTGAAGAAACGAGAAAAGAGAACGTTAAAAACAATCTTACATCTCTTCCTGTACAGTCTTGTATATCTGTGTAAAAACTAAGATAGCTTATCTTACGGAGTGTAGAAACCATACCATCCTCTTTGTGAGAGTTATATACTCACACTCTAAACACATATCCTTGAAAAAATAAGGTTGAATACCTTAGCGAGTGTAGAAACCATACTATCCTCTTTGTGAGAGTCGCATACACACTCAAAACATCTATCGTTTGTAA